GCTTGTTTTCAAGTGCAGAGGATATATGGTCCACAACACGAAGGCCTTGTTGGACAGTGGAATGTCTTGAGCGGAATCCAAATTGATGAGAAGGGATGTTGTGGGATTCGAGTATGGGTAGGATGCGTTTGAGGAGGATTTTCTCGAAGATTTTTGAGAGAATAGGGAGTAAGCTTATCGGTCTGTAGGGTGATGTGTTATTAACGGGTTTGCCTTGTTTTGGAAACAGCACGATTAAGGAATGTTTCCACACCAAAGGAAAGTTGGTTGTGCGAAGGATGCAGTTGTATAGATAGGTAAGGAATATAATTGCTTTTTTGGGAAGTTGTCTGAGGATTTGTGAAGTGAGGAGATCATATCCAGGGGATTTTCGGGGTTTTAATTTGTTTATGAGGAATTTTACTTCAGAGGGGTTAACAGGTTTTGGAGGTAGAGAGAGAGGAATTGGTGAAGAGAGAAATTCTTTAACTTCAGCAGTGTGGGTGGGATGGAGTTCGGGATGGGGAGTGAATGTGTAGGATTGATGTTTAGCAAACTCTTCAGCTCTATTCGCATCTGACGAAGCCCAGGAACCATCATCACGGCGGAGGGGGTGGGAAATGGATTGGAATTTAAGGATTTTTTTAGTTACAGTCCAGAGGGAGTTATCACTAGATGATAATGAGGAAAGGAATTGTAGGATTGGGTTCTAAAGATATCTAGTTTCTTTTTTACCTGTTTGGAATAATAATTATACGATTTGCGGTCATCAGGATGCCTGGTTCTTTGCCAGAGGGCCCTAGAGCATCGTTTGCTATGGATAAGGTCCAATAGGTCTTGGGGTAGAGGATTTATACTGAGGTGTTTTTAGGGACGATCAGGTGAGGATGCAGTCCAAGCTGCTTGCTGGATCAGGGTAGTGAAGGAGTCCACTGCATCGTCAAGGTCTTCAGGTGTTTTAAGGAAACTCTGAGGTCTATATTATCATCCAATATTTGACCGAAAAGGTTCCAGTTAACTGGTCCCCTGATAAATGAAGGAGGGGATGATTTAGGAATGAATGATGTGGAAACGGTTAGGACTATAGGACTGTGGTCTGAGGAAAGATCATCAAGCCTTGAAATGGAACAGTGTAATGATCCTAGACCTCTGTGTAGGAAAAAGTCTAGAAGGTCGGGATTGCGGTTGGGATCTGTTGGCCAGTATGTGGGAGTATTAGGTGAAAGGATGTTGCTGCGATGGGAATTAAGTGCAGATAGCAATGTTCGCCCTCGGGAATTTGTGGATCTGGCTCCCCATGGCTGGTGTTTTGCATTTAAATCTGCACCTAGGATGAAATGGTGTCCTAAGGAATTCAGGAAGGAAATAATTTGGGATTCGGAAATGGGTATATTAGGCGGGGAATATGCAGCAACTAATGTTATTGGGTAAAGGGAAGTTTGGATTATTACGGCAGTGGATTGTAGGAAATTATGGGTTGGTAAGGGAAATAAATGATGGGAGAGAGATCGGTGGATAATTATAGCAGTGCCAGCATGTGCTGTTCCATCAGGATGATCGGTTCTATAAATATTGTAGTCAGGAACGTTGATTGGTCGTTTGTTGATTAGTCGGGTTTCAGTTATTAGTGCTATGTCGATGTTTTTGTCATGTAATAAGATTGTCAGTTCGTTGATGTGATTTCGAATACCATTCGCATTCCATAGGAGAATGGAGAGGGATTTGGTTGAGGACATTTATGGATTTCTCGGCGGTGGAATGAGGTTGGATATAACATTGGTAAGTAATGAAATAAGAGGGGTGATGAGGGATCTAAATTCAGAGAGGAAAGAAGTTAATAGGCTTGTGAGGTCAGTGGAATTGGAAGGAGGAGGAATGTAGGTCTGGGTATTGAACCTAGGTTCAGGGATGGATGGATATGGGTCTTGAGGTTGATGTGTGAATTCTCGAGGTTGAGGTTCTTGTGGCAGCGCCTGAGATTGAGTGTTTATATTGTCTCCTTTGAACATCTGAGCATAGGTCACTCTTCCGTTCACTGTTCTAGAGGGTTGTCTTGGTGGCCTGGATGTCCCTTCTTCTCTAGGAGTTGCGTACATTATAGTTTTTAATTCTTTATATGTTTGACAACCCTTGTAGTGGGCAGGGTGCCCTTGGTGGCATAAAGCGCCTACTGCAGGTGAAGTTCTAGACTTCCTACATTCTTCTGTTTTGTATTGCTCACCACACCTCACACATCTAGGAATGTGATGACAATATCTTTTCGTATGGCCATAAGCCTGACAGTTATGGCATTGAACGACATCGCGCTTGGTGTAAGGCTTTTCTACTACAACGCTGGTGTAATAAAGGCGTGTGACCTTGTAGATGTCTTCGACCTGGGGCGTTCGGTCAAGGTCAACGAAGAATAGTGGGAGCGGTATTTTACTTTTTATTCCAGGCTGTTCTCTATCCTCCTTGAATATGTTCACTATCTGGCGAACATGGAATCCCATACCCACGAGCTCTTCTTTTATAGCATCTGTTGGCGTAGATGGGTGCAGTCTTCTGATAACGACCCTGAGCTCCCTCTCTTGACGCAGTTGATACGTGTGGTAATCAGCCTTGGTGTCAGATAAATATTTTATAATTTTTCTGTATGTTTCTGGAGTGTCGGGCATTAATTTAGTGTCATTGGTGCGGCTTTGGCATAAATATTTTCCTGAGCCCACTAGGTTATTCAATTGGTGGCACATTAACTGAAAGTTTTTAATATTCCTAAGGAATATTGGTGGGGGTTTGGGTTCCCTGGGGGTGGGTGCTGCTTCCATTTCTTCGTTTTGTGTATTTGATAGCACTTGAAATGGGTTCTGAGTGAAAAACGGCGATTCTTCACCAGTCTGAGTTGTCTCATGATTGTTTTGTTGTTGTGAGGTACCAGGTTGGGGATCCACTTCTTCAACAGAGCTCCCTGGTGTGGCTGGTGGAGTATTTCTTTTCGAACGTCTTGTTCTTTTTTTAATAGGAGAACTCATTGTAGTATCGAGGCTTCTGGACCTAGTATTTTTACCCTTGCTCGACATTAGCATATGATAATATCGCATTTCATATTATAAATGATAGGAAAAATTGTTAAATGAGAAGCGATAACAATTTTTTTTTTTTTTTTAAACACGGAAATATATACGCGTGCTTAGAGAGGACTGGTAGGCACAGAACCTCCTCGGACGGAGAGCCAGAGCCCACTGGTGGGATTAGCGATGTTATGGCCGGCCGTTGTCAGTAACTAACCTGAGGTCTATTTACACTGTTCACTATTGAGCTGTAAATAAGTGATTACTCACCTTATTCTTTTGTTCAGTAACAAACTTAATTGTTAATATAACAGGTAACACTGTTGTTTCGCATTGAAGTTGAACACTGCCACTATTAATGAAGAATTTTGTAAGAGACAACCTGACGTATGTTTAACTTAGGCTAACGCATGCGCAGAACTCAATAACGGTTCTAACAATTTGGTTAAACTTGGTGTATCATTGTATAGTCAATTCCTTAATATCATTTAGGTCTTATCCCCGATGATGTCACTTTACGGAACTTAATGTTCATATGCGTCTTCCTCTAAAGTACCTTTAATATAGTTTATTCTAAATAATCAACTATCTCTCATTATTAAAAGTTACTAAAAAATGATAAATATAACTTTTGGAAGAATTTGATAATTGAATAAAGGAAAAAAAAAAAAAAAAAAAAAAAAAAAAAGTGCTTATACAGGTTGAAAATGAATCTCCGGAAATACAAGTCAGAAGGTATACTTATAATATATCGTTGGAAAGCGAGAAATTTTAGAAAAAAAGCAAGATCTAATATAGAAAGTTGTAGAAGGTAACGAAGATTGGCGAAAAAAATATAAATATTAACATGTTTTCAAGGAAATGAAATGAAATTTTGTTACTAAATGTAAACTTTTAAATTTTTTATAAGTTTGAAAAAGTATTTAAAACCCCCGGATTCAAGGCAATGACATTGTTTAAGATACTATTTCATTGTACTTGTGTGAAGGAAGAAGTGAAATGTACAAATATTTCATAGATACGTTTATAACCTTAAATATAATTATTGTAGTTTAATAACTCTAGATCTGGCATTATATTTATATAATTAGATATCTATCGCCCGTTTATTGAGAAAAATCATTATGTAACCTTTTATAAAATTAAATTAGTGAATAATTTGATAAATTTTTCCTTAGCGATATTCCAACAAAATCCACTTACGATTAGTGTCACAACTTTTGACCTATCTATGACAGACAATGCAAATCTCTTAATTCCGTTTTAGTAAACTTTGCAATGGAAAGTAACAGTTTAATAACTAATAGTCGTACAATCCATAATCAACGGATAGAACGATCCACAATCAACGAATCGTACAATCCATAATCAACCGGGTATATAATAAATAGGACTTTTGTTATTTTAATAGTATTTTTTTAATTGTTTAATTTTTAATCTTTAAGTATGCTGTTTTAATCGTTAAAAAATACAATTCAAAAATTGTATAATAGCCCAACACGGCCAGAAGATGATTTCTATTTAAAGATGAGCGGTTAGTGGAAGTTCTGTGTTGCGAGCACCAGATTTTTATGTATATTTCGGTTACATTTGAATGTACGGTTAGTAAAATTTTTAATTAGTAATCAATAGTAAAAATATAAACTATAACAGTAATAATACAAATGATATGATTACTTAAATAGAATATAATATTATCTATTAGTCTGTATAATATAATAAGTATTATAAAGTAAAATCTAAATCTATATTGTAGGTATTTAAATCTTTCTATATATTTAATCATGCCTGGTTTGTTATATTTTTTAGTTTTTATTAGTTTAAACAAAATAATGAAATGTCAATAAATATACTGTTTATGCCAATTATATATCCTGCTTTATTTAAATTTATTTTGCACTTTATTGAATATAAGCTGGCGACATGTCATGTTTTTGGCCCGAGTGGGCGTTGTTTTCGCCTAACTGAAATATGCTCCTGTTTGTTTTCCAGGATGGCTCGATCGAGTTCGAGGAGTTCATAAGGGCACTCTCTGTGACGTCACGGGGCAACTTGGACGAGAAACTTCACTGTGAGTTATCTACCCTCTTACCGCCTTCTAGATCTAACTTGTCACTTCCACCTCCCCCCACCACTCTTGTCGAATGTGTCATTCTTGTTACTTTTATTATTTATATATCACTTTTTTTTTTTTAACATTGCAATAATTTCTTTTATATTTTTTTTTGTATCTATATGTTAACTAATTATGGCGTCATTCCTATCAAGAGGCCGTTCTCGAAAGTCTTGGGTTTCGGTTATTTTTTGGTTATTTGTTGCATGCATTAATGTTAAGAAAGAAAGAAGATTTAAATTTTTTGAACATGCAGTTTTTTAATAATAAATTTTCTTCATATTTTTTTTTCTCTTTCTTTTCCTGCCATTACTAGCATCGAGGAGTCTATCCAATGCAGCCAAGTCTCTCGGTCTCTACTTCGCCGCCTCATTTCTAGGAGGGTTTTCTTCTTCTCTCTTCTCTCTATTCCGCTCCATATACTCCTGATAGGAAATTCTGGGACAGTCCATCGGCCTCCTCCCTGTGTGTTGAGCTTTCAGAACCTTTAGTGTATCTCTCTCCTCTTCCACCCGACAAACGTGGCCAAACCACTTCAACTGTCGGTTTTCCAGTCCTTAGATCTAACTCCAGATCCTCTCTTATGCTTTAATTCTTCCTGGTCTTTCCAGCAGCTCTCTGCAGGAACTTCATCTCGGCTACTATCACAGGGCTAACTTGCTTGTCCAGCATAATCCAGGTTTCGCTTCCAAACGGAGGTATACCGAATTGTATATGTGCCTTTATGTTTCCTTGCCAACTTCCCTGTGCCCAACTATGCTGTTGCAAATAGGGTAATAAACCTTGTTGACTTTGGATATCCTATTCGCTACTTCTGGGTCAATCTTTCCCGTGTTGCTGACAATTGTCCCCAAATAGGTGAATTCTTGGAGAGCTTTAAGTACGTCCCCGTTTCAGGTCAGCTAGACGTCCTCTTGTTCATCTTTTGATAAGACTAGAACATTGCTTTTGGAGCTATTGATAACCATAACTTTGCGGAGTTCTTCCTGCCATTCTACAATGGCCTGCTGCAGCTTGTTTGTGGTGTCCGCAATCAGAACGATGTTATCTGCATATAGTAGGCTTTGGACCATAATATTCCTCATGTTCCATTTTCCGATGACCGTCTAAGCAGCACAAATCCTATGAATTTCGTCCATAAATATGATAAACAACAGAGGTTATAAAACAATAAAGTTTGTAAGCCACTCAAAGCTAAGTCGTTTCCATAATCTGTAGAGCTACCCTTTGTATGAATAGGAACAATTAATGAACTCCCAATCCCTTTTTTTTTTTTAAATGTAATTTATTCTAACATATAGTGGCCGAAGGTATGGTAAATTTCAAAGTGGGGAAACAATGAGTTCACAAGATAAAAAATGTTGATCTATAGTAGCTATACTGAAAATGCTGTCAAACCAATAATAGAATATAGAAATTTTTTTTTAAATGTATGCATGTAAATTCTTATTTAAATGTTACTTAGGTGCAAGTTTATTTTAAAAAAGTAGCTTATTATCCTTCATGCTTCACAGTGACACTGCAAAAGTGAATAAATTTATGTTGTCTCCTATGATAATCATAAATTGAACTCAGTCACAGTATTCACTCACACTAAAACACACATAACTAGACAAACAGATGAGCAACTACTGTCATTGTCACTGTCGCATTCCTTGGGTCAACCTTTTTTTAAATTAAAGTCTCAGTTTTTACAACCAAAAGGTTTTGGCCATGGATAGTAGAATGACGCCGCAGGTCCTTGGGTGTGCAAAAAACTTACTTTTATTTGCCTTGATTCAATATTTTCTAGGATGCAGGCCAACCACCAGCATTTGTCGTACTCCACAGTAACAAAATCTTCAATATTTGTGAGACCATCTATAATAACTGTACTTGATATAATAGGTTTCTCTGTTTTTTTCTCAAAACTTATAGAATGCAATTTAGTGTCCATCTGTGCCTCAGCTATAGGAATTATTGCATGTATTTTACGTGTTCCTTTTCCAGTTTTTGCTTCAAGGAATCTTGCATTTAGTTTTCATTCATTTTCATCGTTTGCTCAGAAGTTCAATACTTAAATTGAATTACAGGAGTTCTTGTCTTTGCAAATCTTTAAAGTTGTTTAGGAGTCATGATTTTCTCTTAATATGGGAGCTGTAAACTAGCTTTAGTAGCTTAAGTGGGTTATCTGCAGTGTAGTTAGAAGATGTTAAATAAAATCGGAAATGATTAATGACTTTTTTTTAACTTTTATTTTATTTTTTATTCACACCTTTCATGATGGTAATGAAAACCAGTGAATGTGATGATAGTGGGGAAAAAACAACATAATGGCATGTAAAGCATGAGGGAGAGCAGGACCCAGCGGCACCTCCTCCTGGCGAGATATCTACGTTAGGCGAGGAGGTCCCTCATCCAGCTCCTCTTCAGCCTCCTACGGACGTTACCTGGCATTTGCGTAGTGGCCATGTCATTGATGAGTGTGTTAGAAATGACCTTGTAAATTGTCGTGGAATCGTTTGTAATGAGTTCGTATGTGTTCTTTAACAGTCGGCATATGGATGCCAGAATGTTAGGCATGCTAACGTACCAAGGTGCTTTTGTGAATGTCCTGAATTGCTTGAAAGATTTGAAGTTTGTTTATGTGAGCCTTTTTAGGTGTTCCAAATATTTTTTATGGGTAATTCCAAATAGGTTTTAGTAAATAATTGTATGCCTTAAATTTTTGTCTAAGTTTTAGTTTTGAATGTTTCGAAAGAAGTGAGTTCAGAATTTTGAGTTTTGGATTTAACGTTTTTCTCTCCTTTGTTATATGTGGGTCCCATTTTTCGGTCAGATGTCAGACCAAGGCAGTGAACGGTGTCTGTCTGCGGAATCTGTGTATTGTCAAGGAAAACTGGAGTGCTTGTTTCACGTCTAAGGGTAAATGTGATGAGCTGCGATTTGTCTTGATTTAGTCGGATTTTCCAAAGTTTGAACCAGTCACGTAATCCTGTTAAATACTGTTGTAGGGCCTGTGAGGCGTATGTTGGGCTTCTGTGTCTTGCTAAAATTGCTGTGTCGTCTGCATATGTCGCTGTTAAAATGTTGGGACTGTAAGGTATGTCATGGATGTATGTGATGTAGAGTAGTGGAGCGAGTACTGAACCTGGAGGTACTCCTGCTGAGGTAATGGAATATAATTCTGTCCCGTGTCGGAGAAAAATCTTTCGGAAAGAAAGGATTGTAGAATTAGATAATAGGTATGACTTTTTAAAAATCAAAACTTATCTTAGTCTAACCGCTCAAATGTCCTCTTTAACTCGTTTTATCAATGGCAAATTCTACTTTAATTTAAAGCGAATTTTGTATAGTTTACTGAGCAGCAATTGTTAATTACTTAAAATTAGTATTTTTTAATTATCACTGCTCAATGAAGTATGTGTCTTACTCAAAAAAATACAAATTTAAATTTTCTGCCAAAAATCTTATAAAACTTTTTTTTATACATAAACTTTTTCATAGCTCTTGAGGTAATCTATCACTCCTGTAAATATTGACCTCTAATTACTGAACATCATGTACAAAATGATAAGTAAGGAATGAGAATTATACATTCCAACAATAATGATACAACTTACAAGAAGTGATAAGGTCATACAGTCATGATACGGTAGTACAAAAGTCTTTTTAAAAAAGTTAAATAAAAATTTGTTTGGTTTTGTAATTATATATAAAATTAAAGTTTTCCGTTTCATTTCATCATTAAGAAAATAAACTTTTTGTTTTGTTTTTTACAGATTTTGCTTATATTTGTTTTATATGGTGTTGTTTTTTTATTTTTCGTTTTTTTTTTGTGTAAATTGAACGCGGAATCCCATTAAAAATCCTCTGAATAATAAAAAAAAAGTTATCGTAGGATTAGAGTAGACGGTGTTATAATAGGAGCATTGCATCTTGTTACTGCCCCTGCGTGCCCAGTCACCGTAAAATAAGAGCTCCTCCCTCACAAGTCCCTACTACCTCTATCCCAACCTCTGCTCAATGTAATCTCCCTCCAATATAGTTATCTATCGCCTAATTTAAAAATACCTAATTTATTTTGTTTATATATATTTTTTTTTTATTTCGAATTATAACAATCTGTCGCGTGGGCAATAGTATATAGTGATACATGAACACTTTCACACCATATATACAGAAAATAGAAAATTAATAAAAGTAAAATAATAATAAAAAACTATGAACAATAAAAAAATGAAATAAAATAAACATAAGTAAATTAAAAAACACAGTCATAACATACAATATATACAATTAGGCAGGGAACGCTAAGTCAGGCTTCCCCCCCAACTATAGAAGGAAAAGCAGGACTACCCTGCATTACTCTCTCAACGGCGTCACATACACTCATGTCTTGAGTGGAGAATCTGGCCGTTGCCAGAACTCCAAGATATATACTACAATAGATCTCTGGACCACTGCCGCTTCAACCTTCGACTTGGATTGTAGGGATGAGTGGAACTAGATAGGGATTTTGCTAGGGGATTTCGATGGTTTATAAGGTTTTGATGGAATTTGGAAAAATGTTTAGGGATAAGGTCGAGGACAAATGGGATATTAAGGTCGTGATGTAGGATTTTGTTGGTTACATAGAACGGAGCATCGACTATTGTTGGGAGTATTTTGGACTGAAAGGATTGGATGCGTTTGATGTTAGAAAGTTTTTTTGTCCCCCAAAGTTCAAGTCCGTAGGTCCAAATAGGTTTCAGGATTGTCTTGTAGATCAGTAATTTGTTGTCAATTGAAAGTTGAGATTTTCTGGTCAGTAGTCTGTATAATTGGCCGTTTCGTCGGTTAAGTTCTTGTCTTTTAAGTCTAGTATGTGGGTTCCACGTTAGTCTTCGGTCTAAGATAAAACCAAGATACCGGACTGTCTGAAAAAGGAAGCTGGATGGAATTAAAGTGGACTGATGGACAGGATCTGCGCCGGAGTGTGAAGGCAATGTGTTTGCATTTGGATTCGTTTACTTTGATGCGCCATTTATTACACCAGTGCTCAACCTTTATATTTACTAAGTAAATTAACAGTTCTTCATTTTATAATAAGGCATTTTTTTTAAAATAATTTTCTTCAATACTTAACGCTGGTTAAATACGTTATGGTTTAGTCTCGTGTTAATTTGCATAGTTATTGCTTAGATTATTACTATTATTATAAAGTTATTATATTTCATAACTTTTTAAAAATTAAATTGTTTTTATCGGGGATATATTAGTATGTCATTTTTATTTTTATTTTATTTTTATCTTTGAACATTAATCTGCACCTGTCGACGACTGTTGACAATCAGCAGATGATCTGATTAAAGTAATGAAACTGACATGGCATGGGGAAGGGTAGCACTCAGCAGTACCTCTTCCCAAGCTTTAATCAATTACCACGATTTGTCAAGAAAGGATCCATCCTTCATCCAGGATACTTAAAAAAAGTCACTGTTTTTCTCAATTACCCCCTACCTCACCATATATCCATTCAGAGGAAGAGAGTCAATCCACAGATAAAACTAAACCCATTCTAACCGGTACATTTAAACATTTCAACATTTCAAAACGGTACTATTATTTACCCGAAGGTCGAGATTTATTCCGTGGTTACGCCAAGAAATAAATTTCAACCCGTCCATGCCGGATTCGAACCTGCCTCGCTGGACTTGAGAATGTTAAAAGTTTACTTTTTAACACACTCGGTCATAGAAGTTACATAAGTAACAATTTTCAAAACCTCTGGAAATTAAATCGAAGTCATATTAATGGTTGTAGGTGTTACTCGTATGCACACAACATGTAATAATTTTTATCTTAATTTAATTAATCGAGCCTGTGAAAATGTTAAATATAAGCCATTTGTTTAATTATCTAATAATACCATATCGCGTAGAAGAACAATAGCCAACGGCATGTAGCCCGTGACTTCAGCCTAGTTTAAGAGATTAGCGGAGTAGATCCTGGCATAGCAACGTTCTCTTTGTCTTCGCGGGCATGCGGGTTCTCGCTATTATCCTCGCATTGGATTGCCGTCTCTTTAGTTTGCTTTGGAATATCTAGTAATTAGTCCATAATAATTAATTAATTTTAGATAGTTATTTCATTTTGTTTCTATAAATATATTAAAATCTCAGACTTAAAGGCTTCGAAAAGGAATAATAAAAATTTATTATTGTTATCATTATGCTTGTAATACGATACAATGCTTAATATAATTTTAGAATATTATTAAGAATAATTCTTACACAAATATTTGTACTGGGGCATTGTCAACATCCTCAGTGAAAAGTCTTTGTGCAGAAGCTGATGAACCTCCTCTAACATCTTGTATACGGATGCTTCAAAAGTAGATAAGGAAGTAGGATGTTCCGTTATAAATTCTAATATTCAGAAACTATTCAAACTTCCGGCGGCTTGTTCAGTATTTACTGGTGAAATGCAAATAGAGAATCTCTTAAACACATAGAGAAAGGTCAAACTACCAATTGGGCAGGGGTGACAGACTTTATGAGTTCATTACTAGCCATTGAACATACCATGCCCGAAACCATTCTTGAAAAAGAAATAAGAAACGTTTGGTAGCTCCTAAGGAAGAAGGGCAAAGAAGTAGTGTTCATTTAGGTTTCTTCGCATTGCGGGACCTCGAGTAATGATAAATTCGATCAAGCAGCCAACATGATAAGAAAGTCAGAAACAACACCCGTGGAATCAATTAATGAAATCCCTCTAGAGGATTACGTAAAAAAAAATTAAGGATAATGTGTCAAACATGTGGCAAAATAAGTGGGAACAAAAAGAATCGAAATTAAAGGGAATGAAAACCCACTGTTTAAAATGGGAAACCTCTCACCAATCCTCTAAAAAAGATGAGACAGCCCTCTGCAGATTGCGAATTGGGCATTGTGAGATCTCGCACTCCTACTTACTAAGAGGACGTGATTCTCTGACCTGCTAGAGCTGCAATGTCCAAAGGACAGTAAAGCGTATTATACAAGAATGGCCTATATTTGAAACTGCAAGGAAAAAATTGGAGATAGAACAGAACCTAAAAGAAAATCTACAAGACAGCGAAAGTGCAGTTAAAAAAGAGCGATAAAATTGTACAACAGAGTGTAATTTGAAGGTGTTGCCAATGACCCTACAGGGTAGAGGCATCAAAGCAATAAATAAATCATACAAATAATGCATTTTTCATTACAAAAACCTTGAGACCATTTTAGTGTCCGTCTAACTACCATAACAAGCAATAATATATTGCAATACAACAACAATAAATAAATTCTTTATAATAAAGTACTTAAATTAGGATAGCAACATATATTAATATGTTTTAATGTTAATTGTATTATCAAATATCTAAAATATCATAACAATAGATGTCAGGTGTATAACTACTGCTTAAAAGTTCTTAGAAGTCTTCAATATTCGAAGCTGAAATTTAAAAAAATATATTATAAACGTTATTAGGTTTTTTTAAAGCTGTCGATGCCAAGAATATTAGGGATTCTGGCTTGTTGGAATGTAGTTCTGAAGATATTTTTGGTGATATTCTTTCGAACATTGGTAGATGTTCGTGATAACCTGATTACAAGCTGCACAGATTTTGTTCTCCCTTAGATGAAAGGTGTTGTTCATAACATAATCTCATTTATTCAGAACTTGACATTCTTAATAGGTTAACTAATCTATTTTTTTTTTTATATGGACATTAAAAATTGGGATATTGCTTAGGAGTATCTAGCTCCTAGCTCGGTTCGATAAATGGAGTGTCTTTTTGAAATAAAAAATCTATCTGTATAAATTGAGAGGACTTGTTTTTTTCATTATTTCTACTGAACATTCTTAAAACGTAGTAACATTCTTAGAATTAACATCCGAAAATTCAAACTCAGTGCCTATATCTTAAGTGAGGGGTAGTACTTGGGTTGTAAAAATCAGAAAATAGATTTAAATAATGAATAAATAAACAATAGCCTCTCTAAGATTTGGCTAACTAACAATACTTAAAAACTAGGAACTAATAAATTATTTTTATTATTTATTAGTTATACATATTCGTGGCTCACAATACATTTGCCATCTACCTCGGTATTCAGCAAATATGATATCAAGGAGAAGATATGATGGGATAAAAAAAAAGAATAGTAATAACAAAACAAAAAGACAAAAAATAAAATAAAACAGTAGTTATTAATAAATTTAAAAAATGAATTAATTGCAGCAACATGTTTCAATTACGAATTTATTTTTTAGCAGAGGGTGAACTTCAGTGAGCCGCCAGATATCCGATGTGTAATTCTGGGGTAAAGTCGGCTAGAATCGACTAATTAAAGTATTTTTGCGTATGGGATGAAATTTGTCAAGAAATAAAAACCGGACATGCATATTGTTAGCGAGAGAAATTTTTATCAATTCATCCTCTTTATAATAAGGTATTATTCAGAATTTTATCTTAACGCGATGCCGTGTTAGAGAGTCGAAAAGAGAAAAAATGGTGTCGAAAATCGAATTATAACGAGTTTTATAGAAGATATGGACTAAAATATACCGGAAATTAAAAATACCTGCATACTGTAAGCGAGGGAAATATTAATTATTTCATCCTATTTATAATAAGCTATTATTTATAAATTTTATTTCATATCATTAATTTCGCCTTGTTGTTTTCACGTCTTCAGTCTTGGCTAAAGCACACACCTTTGTTTTTTTTTTCAACACCGAAAATGAATTAAATAAAAAATATGTTTGTTCTTGTTTCAGGGGCGTTTAGGTTATACGACGTCGACAATGACGGATTCATCACACGAGATGAGATGTACAACATTGTGGACGCAATATACCAGATGGTGGTAAGTACAATAGTTTACATTTTATTTATGACGTTTCTTAGATTTATTTCAAAAACTATTTAGACAAATTGTGTAGTGAATGTGGATATGATGCACACCCTTTGAAACTCTAGACTACGGTTCCATGAATTCTCCCACATGCTGTATGTACATTAAAAAATATAAATGATTTTTTGCAGAAATATTTATCAATAAAAAGAAAAGAATACGTACTTTAAATTTATGATGCGTTGACATATTAGTTACACTATTGGGTAAGGAAGCTTTTTTTATAAAAAATGACCCATGAAATAAAGACTTAGTTTAGTTGACAAAATTACAAAAGCAGTTGAACGGAAAATATGACGTCATTCGCAATACACGTTCCTACCATAGCTGAATTTTCGAAGTTATAATTGTAATCGCTTAAACTTAATCTGTTCTTAACTAACTCAATATTGCTTTGAGAAATTCTGCAGTGAGGATCTTTAAAACGTAAGAATGACCCAGGAATGCCATCAATAGATTTGGATCAGAATTTTGATGTTCCTGACAGTCGTTGCATGGCCTTTGGACTTTACGGTGAACAGTCAAGCATGATATACGGAAAACATTACCGCGTGATCCAACTTAGGCTAATTGTGAAGGTGTTCTATTCCTGCAGAATAAGGTTAAGCTGAAAAATATTCACCGGACGAAGGAAAAGTTGAATAATCTTCATTGAATCTCACTTCTGCCAAATCCACTATAAAGTAGATACCTCACTTTAACAGTTTATATTTTTTTTATTCCATGGCCCACTTTCTTTGAGAGGAAGAAATTAATAATTTTGTAGACATTTATCTTGTTTTCTTACTGCTCAACTCTTAATATATAACGTTAATAATACCAACTATTCTTGAAGTCCTTTTTATCCTGCTCCACAAAACTATAACGTACGTTCAGTCGTACTTTAAAAATGTGCGAAATTAAGATGAACATTAAACATTATATAATATTGATTAAAAAAATAGGAAAATAGATTTTAGTAAATCTATGAAGACTCACATATCTAGTTTTAAAATGGCTAAATGTGATTATTGCGCGAAAATAATCAGTGTATTTTTTTCAATTATCAATTATTTAGGCCCATAATAAGAACTTTTTTTAATAACTTTTAACTGAAGCTCATTCGAATTTCAAAATTTTGTACAACGGCTCTTTTCGGAAATCCTCCTTAAAACTGTTTTCAATTGAACAAATTATACTTGCAACTGAAGAAATATTTTCCGGAACATGTAAAAATTAAACAAACACGTAACACTTAAAAAAACACATAACTTAATTTTCAAGTGCTTTTGTGTGGAAGTGGACCATTTTATAGATATATCAACTTTTTCGTTGCACTTGAGATTATTTTTCTTGTTCAATATTGTTGAATATTGATAATATTTTTATTTACTTCCGAGACACCCTAAAACTAGTCTAAGTACATTCTTCTTTTATTATCATAATAAGCAGAAACTTGGGATAATTCTCGGTACTGATTGGAAATCTGAAATTATTGCTTAAATTACGCTTGATTTTGGATTTCTGTATGCTTGATACATGGCCTAGCGAGTGGGAGCCGTTCTGGTATTAGTGATAAGACCCGAGCGAATCCAATTGATGATTGGCTGTTTGAGTGAGGAGCGTACAGTGGCTGATAACAGAGCGATGTACAGTGTATTGATTCCGACCCAAATCGAAGCAATTAGGGCTCTGCTTAATTTAGAAGGGGTTCCTTTAATTTCTATTGGGGCCCTCTCTCATCTACAAAGGGTTCTGACAAAACAAACAATTCAATTATAAAGATGATTTGTTTTAAACATCCAATTCCCATTAGCTGGGAGAACATAAATTTAACAATCGCTAGAATAGAGATAACTTTTTTTTCTTTTTTGATTATAAAAATTTATTTGCGCCTATCAACTTTTATTGACAATCAGGAAATGTGCTGGAAATATAAAATATAAATGACATGTCAGGCATGCGGAAGGAAATTGCTCAGCAGCAGGTCTGCTGATTTGTTCGAATTACCTAGATTGTTCAAGGAAGGAGATCGCTCATCCAACGCCTTCTTAGTCTCTTCCTCATGTTCTAGGGTATGTCAGCTATGACCCTGTCTCTTATTGATCTATTATGATGTCAGTTTAAATTAGTTGAAAGATGGAGGTCAGTATGTAGAGTTTTGTTAGTCACGTACCATGTTGCTTTCGTCATGAGACGCATCATCATCATTTTTACTGGAAAGCATGAAGTTCTTGTAGGTCGGTCTTTTTAGCGATACCTCATATTTGTGGTGAATATGTCAATATGGCTTTAAGTATATATATGTATCCAGTTTCTGTCTCAGTCGTTTTTTAAGTATTGTACGTTTCATTTTTAATACAGGCTTCATGCCATCCTTCTTTCGAAGGTGGTTCCAAGGTAAAGTATCCCGTATCCCTTTAAGGAATTTGATTGTTGTCAATATAGACTGGAGGGCAGGTGTTTTTTCTAAGAATAAATGTCAAAGTTTTGGGTTTGTCGTTGTTAAGTCGAATTTTCTATAGTTTGAACCAATCTTGTAATTTAAGTAAGTGATGTTGCAGAGTTAGTGAGGCTTGTGTAGGATCTTGGTGATTTGTAAGAATTGTTATGTCGTCTGCATAAGTACCTGTCAATGCCTCATAGGTATATCGTAAGTGTATACAATGTAAAGTAGAGGTGTCAGTACTGAGCCTTGTGAAACTCCTGCCAAGATTGGACAAATTGAAGACATTTCCAAGCCCTTCAGAACTGAGAAAAATCTGACGAAGAGGAGCCCTTGAAGTCTTATGTTTAAAGAAAAGACGCTGGTGCCAAACTCAATCAAATACCTGAGCAACATCCAAAAATACTCTAGTTGCATATAGTTCTTGTTCTAAAGCTCCAGCAATGATGTCGGTAACCCTATTTAATTAATGTGTCGTCGGACAAAATGTGCGAAAACCAAATTGGTGGTCAGGTTATATTTTTCGGTTAGTCAATTTTTCGACAAGTCTTTTGTATATTAATTTTACAAAAACTTTAGAACATATAGGAAGGAGTTTAATGGACCTGTAGGATGAAGGACTGTATATGTCAGTATCTGGATTGTGAATCATTTTAATTAGTAGACAATTCCACTGTAATGGGAATTTTGAAGCCTTTTATATGCAGTTGTTAATTGAAATACTAGAGCTTTCTGGGGAATTCGTTGGAGCTTTTCTTCCATAACCAGGAACTATTCTTTTCGGTAATTGTTTGATTTGGAGTGTAACCTGAGATGGAGTAAAAAAAGGAGGTGGTAGTGTCAGCTGAAGTGGGATGTCTAATGTGTTAAGTACTATAGTCTCATGTTCTGTGTTAGTGAAGTCTGTAAACGGTTTGAATTCAGAAGAAAGGTGGTGAGCAAAGAGTTCAGATATTTCCTCTTCCGATATGGCCCAGGATCCATGTTCTTTTCGGCGAGGTACTGACAGCTCTCGGTGTTTTGACTTTTTGGTATGCTTCCTCAAGTTTCCATTTTCAGTCGAAAGACCATTTATGTAAGGTTCATAGCTTGTCCTGTTAATTTTTTTATTTCTCTTTTAGGTTGATTGTTTAGTCTGTTGAATATCTGTCTATCTGATGGGCGTCTGTCACTCTGCCATATTTTACGTGCTTATCTCTTTGCTCTGATTAAGTACTTTATGTTCTGAGGGTATTCGGCAAATTATCCGTTATTGCAGCAATAACTTGGGTATTGATGAAGTCCAAGCTGCTTTTTGGATACTTTTTTGTGAATATTTCCACAGCCTCCTCCAGTTCTTTTTCACTTTTTATAGAAACTGTGATCAAAAGCGAAGAATTTAAATAATCTCTATAAGCCTCTCAGTCAATTGGCCCATTGATAAGTCCAGACATTCTCTGAACATTTACAGCCTCATCTAGCACAGTAAGGTGTACTGTAGAATGGTCAGAACAAAGCTCGTACTTAGGAATGAAATACTGTTTTAAGATAACTTAAAAACTTTTTTTTTTAATGAAATTTACAACTGTATTACATTAAAAATACAACTAGTAAATGTGACATTGGTAACATGACATGTAAAACATGAAGAGAAACTACCCATTGGTAGAACTTAAATTAAAGTTCTATATTAGAAGATCCCGAGGCCATCTTCTTTTCAGACGCCTCGGAGGGTTATCAGGGATCGAGGAGGAAGCAAGGTTTGAAACTAGAGGGTTAGGATGGTTTTGAAGTTTGTTATGGAAGGATTTGTATCTGGATTTGGCTAAATCGGAAACATATGAACATTAAGGTCAACTTAAAAAAAAACTTTTAAAAAGCAGGAGTAACTTGGATCATGGTATTATTTTTATAATCTTTTGGTTTCGGACTTATTTTTCTCCATTTTTAAAATATTATTATTTACTATTTGACTCTCAAATATTTTCTAATTGTCTCTCACATATCAATATTTTAGGCGAAATCGGGGCTAAAAGTTCCGATTTTTAAACAACCTCAAATATTATTTACAAAGTGACCTCTTAGCAAAATTTATACTAGCTCATAATAAGTTTCGAATGTATCTTTAATGAATGCTTTTATGTGAAATTAAGTATACAGGGAAACTTTGGATAGGTTGTCACGAGCTCTACCGGATACAAAGACGAAGAAATAAAAATTAAGATTTAAATATATATACTCATTTATTTAAAGACTAATCGATAATATCTAAAGAGCATTCAGTCAAATATATCTGATAATTTTAAGATAACCATGAAATAAGAGATATAATTCTCCTTTAGTGTTTATAGTAATCACTTGTAATTACTTCACAACTCTGAATCGTACTTTGAAGTTATATATTATCTTATCTTTCAGTTAACAGCTTATGTAACTAATCAGTCTTTATAATAATGCCCGAAACTTCACGAAACTAAATAATAATAAAAATAATATGATACATAAAAATAAATGAATTTGGTGGCCCACTGGCTGTGACCTCATCTTGTTAGTGTAACCATTTCTCACTTGTAATAAATCTTTAGACATTTCCCCTCGATAAAAAAAGTCAGAAATGAGATTCATAAATGTATATTCAAAAGCTTAGCTCCATCAAAAGTTTATTTAGTGACTTATAGCAATAAACCGACGAAATGAAAGCGTCTTTCCTGAATTCTTGAATTCGTGAAATCGGACAGAAAACCCGTGTATTTTGTTTTTAGTGTTCCAATTGTATTTAGTTTTAGTTTTTTTTTACTCAATTTACAGTAAATATTTACTTGTATTTTATTGTTTAACAAATTGAATCATATTTCAAAAACAAACATAATAATTCAATGACTTATAGTAAAGCATCCTACATAATACTAAACGTCGATTTTTTTTTTCAATATCTTTACTCAATTTATACTATCTATTTAATGATATTTTATAATCTTTACAAATATGAATCTAATGAATAAATAAATAAAACTTCGTAAATTTTTTCCTAAATATTTACTCGATTTGCACTACATTTTTAATTATATTTCATGATCTTAAATAAAATAAGTAAAAATAAAACGAATACCATGAATAAAAGAGTTCCAGTAAAACATTATGCCATAAACCATGAGCAAAACTCCACTCACTGATATCACATATACATCGCGCATACTACAGTGATTTTGACGTAATACATTATTAACCTCATGTTTCACGACAGACAGTGAAGAAACTAAACGAGCTGTTTTACGAAGTCCTTCCACGTCCACCTTATTCGCCATATTTATCTCCAAGAGATTTTTAACTGTTCAATAATTTGAAATATTTCCTAAAATATACAATTTTTGAAAATGAATCTCAGGTCAAAAACGCATTTTCTGACAACATTTCTTCACAAAATCCTGACCTTTTCATTTCTGGGGTTGACAAGTTGATAGCATATGGGACAAAATTTATAGAAAATGAGAATAATTATTTCGAATAAACAAATATTGATTTCATAAAGTTATTTTACTAAATAACCTTTCTTGAGAAAACATAAATTGCATTTGAAACGACCTAATAGAATGTAAGTCCAAGATAGCGTATTGCATCCGTTTAAGGGATTAAATATCATTGTTTTAATCTAATTTTAAATACTTAAGAAAATGAATAACGGTGTCATTTACAGATTTTATATTGGCCCAAAATATTGTTCCATTTAGTTCTGAAAGGGCGAGGTGGAACAAATGGTAGGTGGAGGACAAAACAGACGAGGCAGAAGAAGATGGTTGGAAGGAGAGGGCAAAAAGCCTAATGATAGTAGGCTGCCATCCTCCCCCCTCCCCCACAGACCTCCTCCTCCTTACCCCTCCCTCTCTTCCCTAATTTCACCAAGATGGATTATTACTCCCTCTTATCTACTTCTTTTGCCAAATTATTCTTTAATAGAACACTTCAGGCGGTTCTTTTCTTTATAGAAGATATTATTACAATAAATGTGTTAATTTATTCTTCTATGTTTTTGCTTCAAAACTGCACCACTGTGTATACTGTTAGTAACCCCCTCCCAATAAATAACACATCAATACTCCAAGGACTGTACTTAGCTCTCTTTTACGTAAGATGGCAATAAAACGACTTACATTATAAAAATTTTGTTTTATATAGTCATATTACAAATATTACCATTGAATATCGATACACCAAAGATTACTACAAACATGCTAAAATAATAAATTCGTATAGATGATTGATGTTATTCCCATTTTAAATGCAGTAAAAAGGAGAGAGATATAATATATATATACATATATAGAATAAGATATTCCTCTAAAAGTATTCTGAATTTAATTTCATTAATTTAATATTTTAATAAAATTTTATACCGCTGTATATTGCATTTTATTAAAGTATTAAATTAAAGAAATTAAGTTCAAAATACTTTTAGAGGAATATCTTATTATATATATATATATATATTTTTTTTTTTTTTTGTTTTCTTACACCTTTCTCCTTTATACCTCTTATACACTGACTTCCAGAGCTCAAGGTCTTGGCTTCGAATCCGGCCAATGACTAGTAATTTTTCATTAGCCGCGGATCTACCCTGGGATAAGGAGACCCTCCTGGGGCACACTCAGCCTCTATAAAGTGGGTACCCTTAATTAATAAAAATAATTAAGGGAGAAAACTGGCGGTTGAGTGTGATCTCGGCGCCATCACCTCCCTGCACAACCGTTGGCCATGAAATATACTTCCTCACGTAGTACTGCACTATAGACCCTTCATGGGTTGTATTGGTACAGATTTCATATATTGTATTATACGAGTGTTCTTAGAAGTTGTGTTTTTACAAATATTCTTTCTTCTTCTTACGTTAATAAATTTAATTTCTATAGATTAGAAATTAACTTATTAAGGATGGCAAACTATTTTCAAGAATATTTAGACCATAAATTTATGGTTCCGAAACAGAATATCTAAATATTTCTAATTTGTTAATACAATAAATAACTTTTTTTAGTTTTTTTTAAGGTCTCAAAAGGCCTTTTTCTTTTACAGCCCAAAACTTTGCTGCTGAGGGACTCAAATATATTACTAAGGCCATTATGATATAGATAGTAATAGCATGATTAGAGTTTTGTCTTTCTGCAAGAAAATACTTGATAGCCAAACTTGAACTTTTAGAGTTAGCTTTCTCCGCTTAGAGCATAGAAAAATTTGTATCAATAGGAATATATAATCATTGTAAACGTCTAAAAAAATTATATTAATTATTGTATAATTATTAACGGCTTATCAGTGTCATCCTTGGATGTTCTAAGCTTTTCGATTAATACATAACAGACTTGTTGACTTACTCATTAATTGACAATAATTCCTGCCGTGGATTTGGTTTTCGCAGAGACATAATTTACTACATCGCTAGAGGAAAAACTATATGTCCGTTTTTCTGGATGTCACTCCGGCATTTGAAAAGCAATAACACGCGAGGTTTTTCTTTAAGCTCAAAACTCACATTCTCCAATCTCTCTTTTTCTACAGATTTTCATATTGTACTGCTCAGTAATTTCTTCAATTCGGCTTGTATTAAGAGGATCAATACTGACAACTTTACATGATGTACTCACACGACAGGTCTTCCAAATGAGATATTTACTGCCACCTAGTACGTATGTATGTAGTTGATACAACAATGCTAAGTTTTAAAGTGCTTGCTGCCTTTCAATGTGACCGATTTTATTATTACTCAATAATTTAAAAAAAAATCTACAAGTATTAAAGTACAAAGTTCATTTCTCTCTCTCTGAATAATGTTATTAAAACTCCATAATTTTCTTCTCAATTATTCAACGCATCACAATCAAGTTATATAATCATCTTCAGAATTTTCTATTCTTGTTTGTCAAGGAAAAAATGTGATTTTAAAATCTTCTTGTTATTCTCATCAAACATCAATATACATGTGTAAAAAGGGTCAACCAACCTAAAAGTATCTGAATATGTCTCACAAAGCTGGACCAATAATGTTATATTTTAATTTATGTTGTTTTACATTCGATAAACCTAAAATTTCTATAGTTTTATATTTAGTGTTGTAGGATTATGATACCGCCTCGCGTAGTTGAGACATATTTGGAAATGGTAGGAGCTACATATCGTTCAGAGAAAATTGCTCCACTAAAAGCCGTTTTCGCTTATTGCCTCCCTATGTCAGAACTTTTCGAATTAAGCCGCGAAGAATGGTCCAGAGCCACCAGTTTCACTAACGGTCTGAGAAATTATCCCCAACTCTTCTTAGGAAGTAGGAGTTGAAATTAATTGTCTTGTATTTAGGGTCGTCTTTCCTCCGGCGATGCCGTCTCCCTGATAGAAGGCTTTGTGTTTAATTTCCATTTCTCGGTTGTTAGTAAGGCTAAAGAGTTAGCAAGTTTTGTTTTATTTCATTTTTTTTTTTATCTTTATGAATTTCTCTCTTGTTTACCTCAATGGGTTAGTAATGTCTGCTTACTAATTCGGTGACAATATGGGTTTTGGTACAATTATTTAATTGTTTTTTATTAATTTATTTCGTAATTAATCAGTATTATAAACAGTATCAGTATTATATAAACAGTAACTACAACAGTTAAAAAGTGTATGACCGGATTTATATTTATATATATATATATATATATATATATATATATATATATATATATATATATATATATATATATATATATATATATATATAATTAATGGATTTATATTATTTGGTTATGGCGCATGGTTGAATGATTTAATACCTTTAATGTGAAAATTAATTTAAAATTTATTGTTAGGTTTTTTTTATATTACTGTACCGATTTCAATGTAGATAAAATAAAGTGGAAATATTTAACAATAATATGTTCTTGTTGAAAGAATAAAATTTTCTTATAGGTCTATTATTCTTATATAAAGACCAAGAAATAGTTATGTTTATATAAATATATTACCATAATTATTTTACGTGTATAATTTTCTTATATTTATATGCCTACATATACTTCGATGTGCTATTTTTTGTAATTTATTTATTTATTATTATTATTTTTGTATTACAACAAAGTCGATTAGTTATCCACATTGTGCATACATCATTAGTGCATACATCATAAATTTATTTGCCAACTTCCTTCTAAAAAAATTACTATGTATCCTACTATGTAATACTATACATGTAATACTATGTATACTATAATATTTAGAAAAAATTAATTTTTTTGTAAAATCAGTCTTTCGTAATATTATTATATAGGGAAAACAAAATTGCTTATAGATGTTGAGCTTCTCCATTAAAAACAACTTTGGAAAACTGCAAGACTTAATGAAATCGCAGATTTGGCCAAACTGGATAAATCAAATTTTGGTAGCATGTACTTCATTTATATGTATATTAAATATTATGTTATGATTGGAAAAGTCTAACTACACAGCCTGGTGTCTCTAAAACACAGATAAAAATTAAATAACTTGTCATCGGTTCGCATTCAGGTACCACCAGGACAGAAAAGAAAAAAAAGTCAAAATCACGTCAAAATAGGTACTGATCCTTCATCACTTGTGTTACCTTACCTTTCTTCCAGTATATCATTGGATGTCATGGAATGATGTAATCCTGAGTTTGCTTTTGTTTGGATGGTACCTGAATTGGGGAAACGTCGCCGGGTTATTTTATTCTGTACCTACGTACGAGAAACAATTGGAATTTACCGGAGATGGACAAATGCTACTCTGAGTACTGAGCACCAAAGATATTACTCAAATACTGACCTTTTTTGAGTACCTAATAATTTATTGACTACTTCAGCTTATATCAAACGATTAACTTGTTATGGTCTTAAATTTAGAAAAGTTGTTTCCGCAACAAACTTCCCGGATGCTCAGTGGAGACGGTAGGGTTCGCCAAAAATAAAATAATCAGGAGGCAATTAAATATTAATAATTACCTAACGAGCTCCATGCTATTTAATTTGGAAAATAGCGAAGAAAAAAAAATTTTACTTAAAAAAAAGATTTGGACGCGGAGTGAGCTACGAACTCGGAACCTATGGGTTTAATTAACCTCAAAATCCTATCGACCTTTTTACTAGGTTAATATTCATTTTCCATAATCCCTCGAATAGGGTTTTACTATTTCTTATTAAACCTTAAAAAAAAAATAAAATAATATGATATATACATAAAACCTGAAAACAAACTGAAGAAAAATAAAAATAAAAAACTGGCTATTATAAGAAAATACAAATTATGAATAAAAAATTAGATTTATAAGAAAACTGAGAAAACACAATTAAATTTAGTTATCAAATAAAAATAATATAAAATTATTATAGAACTAAACATTAACTTAGACTATACAATAAACCAATTACAAATATTTGAAAAAAAAAATAGATAGGAAATAAAAACTTATATATACATATTTACAAAATCTCAATGCCGAAATTTGTCCAATTGGCACATTGAGTTATCTGAGGAAGCGGGAACTTATTCCAGCTAGCTTCATCAGTGTCTCCCCAGTCCACCTCCTCAAGTTGTTAATATGTTCATTCACCAACTGGTAAAATCAAGCGGCACTCATCGCTGATATTCACAGGTTCTTGGAGAGTAAAAGAAAAATCCGGTGTACACCGTAAAACTAAAGTATTTCACACACAAAAATCCTTAGGATGCCTTAACACTCGCAAGGTACCGCCATCTCTCTCTAAACTGTCCTTTGTTTTTCTCCCAATCATCTGTTGGTTATTCCAATTAGAAATAAAATTAAAACTTAAAACTAGGACTGATTATAAACTAATACTTAATTATTAAAACTAATACTAATTACTTCATTTATTTTTAGCCAACCCTCTTCGAGGTAAAACTAACAGTTATTTTACGAAATAATTGTTTTGTTTTTTTTCTATTTTATTTTTCCGTCACAAACTGAGGTACTATTGAATTTCCAATAGTTATTTAATTTGAGTAAAATACTTGGCACTCGGTACACTAATACTGTATTAGAGAAATAATGATTTTTTAATTTCATAATTATTCTTAAAATCTATAAAACGGTATTTATATGTATGTTCCATTTTACATGTACTACAAGATCTAAAACGAAATCAATATATTATTTTATTTTTAATTCTTATTTGTACACTTATCTGTTTTCTGAATTAGTACACGTATCCTTATTTCAAAACAAAAAAGGTATTATATAACGAATATGTTTCATTAAACTTTTGTTTTTAATTAGTAATATAGTCTGAGAACTGTATAATTAATACAAAATATTCCATTATTCGTGTCATTAGTACACTTGTCATTCTCAGATATTATTCTGCGCCTATATATATATCTTCTGTCCCGGCCTTACCGCCCCGCAAAATTCTTATCAAGAAGGGAAGGACTCTGAAGAAGTCCATCGTGCCAGTGATTTATGACTTTTCCCAGTGACAAATGAGAGTAATATGAAAGGAAGGTCGCTAATTCTTTCAGATTTATGCGGTGCCTCAAGTTTCCGAGTCTATTGCTACCTCCACAGATTTTCGGGGGTACTTCTTCATTTACTTTTCATTCTGGATATTAGATTCAATACCCCTTCTTAATATTCTCTCTTCGGTTCTCTTTTCTCTACCTTTTGGTGTAACGTTCTATATTTGATGAAAGCAAAAAATATTAACAGAGTAGCAGAGAAATAAACTGAATACACGTTCAAAATCGATTATATAAAGTGTCAATTCCAGTTATCCGATTTTAACAAAAATTTTGCTGCAGCATCCTAGGTATATATAAATATACATATATATACAAATAGTATATACATACCCACATGGAGGTAGTAATAACAAATAAACAGATATCGCCAAAAAGATCCACCGACAAAAAACTTTAAACATTCCATACAAAGTACGCTGAGTGTGCAAGACCAAGACCAGGTGTGAACACTGCAAGACCAAGACCAAGACTATCCAAGTCTTCTGTTGGTCTTGCATTGGGGTAACATTAATTTTGATTGATCCTGTCTGTGTTTTATTTACAAAACAAAATTTTCAATATCTACCTCAAGATCAAGATGTTTTAGCATAAACCGCTCAGATCGTGCAGCATCTCCACGGACTGCGAACGTATGAATGTCAATATTATTATTTCTTAAGTCCCGCAAGACCATTCCATTTCTTTAGGAGAGTTAAACATGGCGATAGCCTGAGCCCCCTACTGTTCATAATTTTCATAGATGCCATTTGGAAATTTTATAAAAGGATGACACCCAGAGCAATAGTGGGATACTGGAATATGACCCCAGTGTTGACACAGGCATTGTTATATGCAGATGATGTGGTGTTTGTTGCGGACACTGAAGAAGATTCCTCAACCATATTATCAGAGGTATGTCAAATCCAAAGTTATGTAAGGTTTAGCAATGTATGCTATTAAAATGGTGTCAGGTCCAGTTGTTAATGTTATTCTTATATCATATGAACATAAAATCATTGTAAAAGAGCCGCATGTAGAGTTTTGTTAGCCACGTACCAAGGTGCTCTTTTTATGAGTCGGAAATACTTTGTATGGAATGTTTAAAGGATTCTTTTTGATCCTACAAATTACTGCACTCCTATCTTGCGGGACCTTCTTCTTCTCTCACTATCTCCTGTGTGCTGCTAAGCGTGGAGTAGCTGCCTCTGACCATCTTGTCCAACGGTCCCTGTCCTGTGCAAGCCTTCTCATCTCCGGTATGGTGCTTCCTCTCGCTGCGCCAGTTCCCTCTATCAAGTCTGCATACATAAGCCTCGGCCTGCCTTGAGGTCGCCTTCCTCCCGGTCTTGCTTCTAGAAGTCACCTGGCCTTACGGTCATCTCCCATTCTATCGACATGACCATACCACTTCAACTGCCTTTCTTCAATCGTCTCTAGGACGGATCTAACTCCTAGTTCATCTCGCACCCTTTCATTCCTTATTCGATCTCGCCTGGTTTTCCCCAATATTTTCCGTAGGAATCTCATTTCAGTTCAAGAGTGTCCAGCTTTCCGATCCGTATAGCAGCATTGGGAGAAAAACTGATTTAAACAGCAAAATCTTTTCTGCTCAACTCCTGCTTTCCAATGAGTGTCATGGATATTTGGTAGTATATTCCATTGGCCTTTTGGACTCAATTAATGACATCCTGGCCTATTCTTTCATCCCTGCCAATCATTGTTCCCAGGCAGTAGGTATCGGGGCTCAAGGGGCTCAAGGGTCTCTCCATTGCAAGTGATTCTAAGATCCTCGTTCCTTCGTCCAACACACATGACTCTGCTTTTGGATG